GGATCACTCTTATTCTAAAACCAGGCAAAGAGGCCACTGAACAAGGGTCATACAGACCCATATCACTTTTTAACTCTGACGCAAAGACTATAGCTAAAGTTCTAGCTATGAGACTAGAAAGGGTACTACCGGCTATTATACATGGAGACCAAAATGGATTTGTGCAAAACCGATGGGGGTTTCACAAAGTGAGGAGAGTTTTAAACATAATCCATGCCTGTGAAGAGTTCCCTGACACTGCAATCTTATCACTTGATGCAGAAAAAGCATTTTACCAAGTTGAATGGCCTTATATACTCGAGGTGCTTAAATGTTTTGGATTTGGTGAATATTTTCTTGGATGGGTTGAAATAATACTTGTTGATTCGACTGCAGTGATATCTACTAATAACCTCATCTCTTAGCCTTTTGAATTGTTTCGAGGTACGAGACAAGGGTCACCAATTTCTCCTCTACTTTTCGTTATAGCCATGGAACCACTGGTGATAGCAGTTAGATCACACACCTCAATTCACAGTATTAAGACCATGGACATGGAACATAAGATAGTAATGTATGCTGATGATACTATTGTGTTTCTATCACAGCTTGCAAAAACAATACCTGCCCTCTTGGAATTGATTAATCAATTTGGTACTGTCTCTGGGTTCAAAGTGAACAGAGAAAAATCATGGATTATGTTTTTAAATGTAAATGAGAGGAAGAAACCAGTAGTATCCCACCCATTTGTGAATGCCACAGAAGGACTTAGATACTTGGGTATCAGAATAACCCCAAATATAAGCAAACTTAGTTCAACCAACTACGAGCCCATGGTAGCAGAATTGTTGGAAGAGATCAACAGATGGACAACATTGCCTATATCTATATACTGGGAAGAATAAACATAATAAAGATGACCATATTACCCAAATTCCTATATGTTTTTCAATCAATTCCACTAGCCCTGCCTCCTTTTTTCCCAAAGACCAGAAAGCTTCTCTCTAATTTTATCTGGAACAATAGAAAGCCAAGACTCAGACTTTCTCTCATGTATTTGCCCTATGATAGGGGAGGGCTACAGTTGTCCAAACCTAGAATGGTATTATTGGGCTGCTCAGTTGAGGACCACAATGTTTTGGTTTTCTGAAGACGTTTTCTTGCCCTGGGTAGAAATCGAAAAACTGTCCACGAAAGGTTTGGCACTGGATAGTTATTTATATTCAACATCACTTAAGAACTTGAAGAAAAATACTACTAATACCTTTGTAAAAATCACTATTGTGGTTTGGCACATAGTTCAAAAAATGCTGGATAACCCCATTGGGTTGTCCTGTTTCTCCCCGATCTGAGGTAATGAGCTTTTTACCCCGGCTCATAAGGACATGGGTTTTAAAATATGGTTGAATAAGGGCATAGTAAAAATACAAGATGTATATGAGGATCATACTATAATGTCATTCAGTGGGTTGAGGGCAAAGTTTGATATACCACAGAAGCATTTCTTCAAATATCTACAACTTAGAAGCTTTATTCTGTCTCAATCAAATAATTCAGTGCAACAGCCTCCATTTTCCATCCTAGAAACACGTTACAAAAAATTGCTTCGGGAGAAGACTGGTGTCTCAGTTTTATAACATGTTGGTTGAGA